AGAGGATGATGCTGATGTAGGTGATGACGGAGATGCTGTTGGTGGCGATGACGGTGACGGTAATGATTATGATAATGCTGATGATGCTGCTGATGATTCTGATGATGGTGCTGACGGTGATGATGGTGATGATGATGATGATGATGATGATGATGATGATGACTATGATGCTGATGATGATGATGCCTTTTCAGAAGGTTCGGAGGTCTCCCAGCCTTCTGAGAAGTTTCCTAAGCCTTCTCCGAAGACAGAAACACCTCTCAGAAGGCGCGAGGGTTTCTGAAAAGTCCCCCCGCCTTCTGAGAAAGCCTTCTACTTCTCACTTCCCCCCCTCGTTCGCCGCCGAATTATGATGATGATGCTGATGCTGATGCTGATGCTGATGATGATGATGATGATGATGATGATGATGATGATGACGACCGTGTGAAACATGCTACGTCTGACGAGGCTTTGACTGGAGGCGAAGAGAGCGAAAGACCATGGCCACCCACCCTTACCTCTTCCTCCCGTCCACCACGATTTGCCGCCGTGTAAACGCGTTTGGGCTCTGACAAGGCTCGGCTGTGGCACAGCGCGGCACTCGAGAAAACCTGAAAACTCGGCCTCACCGACACGGTGGCCCCACACATGGCACAGCACCGCACGCGAGGGGAGGGTCAGACGGAAATGGCGGCAGCCACCCGAACTACTCGTCGCGACGAGCTTTTCCGAGTCGGCGAATACGAAAAAGACAGCCACCACGAGAACACGAGGACAGCCGATGGCCGGAGAGCGCGCACCACGAAGAGGGGCGCGCAACACGGCGGGCAGATCACCTCATCATCAGCCCTGGGGGCTACGCACACAACTGGCCGAAAATTAGCTCGCCACCCGCGGGGCCAGAGCACAGGACGACAGTGCGCACGCGACGCCCCCCCAAAAAAGGCGAGAGACACCACGCAGACAATTTGCTCGCCACCCGAGGGGCTGGAGCAGAGGCGGCCATGATATCTCTGGCCTGCGCAGGCATTATCGCCGCCGTCCCCGCTGCCTCCCCCTCCCATTACCGGCACTGGCCTTGAGTCGGGCGTGTCCCCCTACGGGGGAATTTCGGGCGAAGAATAAAAAATACTCAAAAAATGCCCCCAAATGCTCAAGAATAGTCAAAACATCGTCCCCAGACTATTTTTGACTATTTTTGAATGTTCCCCCTGTAGGGGGACACGCCCGACTTAACACTGGCCTTCTCTCAGCGTCAGCGGGCTCCGCGGCGAGCGCGCGTAGCGCTCCGGTCGGCACCGCGGCGACGAGCCCTGGTGCCGGCGGCTCCGGTGCGAAGCCGCGCGAGGCACTGCGCAGCGAGGGCCGCGCGCCCCTCCTCGGCCTCCGACGGCGCCGCGCGCAGCGCATCGGGAGGCGCAGCTGCGGGCCGAGCAGCCCGCGCAGGAAGGGCCACCGCGGCCAACGGGGCGGCGCCGGACAGTCCCGAATCTTGCCAGAACACGCTCCCTGGGACCTCAACACAACGAATCAACGTGACTGATGCGTCATGACATTCCTAAATCGTGTCAGGACACCCCTGGAACTTCGACCGTGCTAGCCTTTGAACGGGGCGGCGCCGTCAACCCACGAGTCGTCGGGCAGCTCGTCCTCCTCCATGGCGCCGTTGGCCGCTTCAGCGCCCGCGTGCTGTGCACCACCAGCGGGAGGCGCCTCCGCAGCGCGCCGTGCCACGGGGCGACAGCGTCGGCGCCGCCGCGCCCTCCTCGTCGCCGAGGCGGAGCAGCGCAGCGGCCAGCGCAGGAGCTTCGTGGGCAGCAGCAGGCAGGCGCGGCCGCCGCAGTCGGCTTCGGCACTTCCCAGCCAGGGCTCGACCAAAACAATTTTCTTCGTTTTCGTTATGTTTTCGTTTTCCTTCGTTTTGTCCTCGATCCGCCTTGACCGCAAAACAAAGTCGCAACGAAAACGGGCCGCGAAACTGCCAAAGCACCGTTTAGGTCCACCCCTGCTTCCCAGCAAGAGCGCGGCGGAGTTGCCAGGACGTGCAACCGTGGCTGGAGTGCGCCGCGGCGCCCTGGCCTGCACATCGGCCTCCACGAGGGAGGCGCCACGAGCCGAGGGGCCCCGGCCCTGGTTCAGCATCCCGCAGCGGGGCCTCGCCGAGAAAGGGGGGGCCCAGGCAGGCGAAGCCGTGCAGTCGCTGGGGCCAAGATGTCTCGAGCCCGCATGGCTAGGGAGGGGGGAGGGAAGAGGGAGGAAAGGATGAAGGAGGGGGAAAGGGAAGGAAGGAGAGGGAGGAGGGCGAGGCGGAGGGGAGAGGAAGGAGGAGGGAGGATGGGGCGGAGGGATGGGGGTGACGACGATGATGATGATGATGATGATGATGATGATGATGATGATGGTGGTGGTGGTGGTGATGATGATGAGGATGTGGTGATGATGATGATGATGATGGTGGTGGTGATGATGATGATGAGGATGTGGTGATGATAATGATGCTGATGCTGATGATGATGATTGCGATGGTGATGGTGGTGGTGATGATGATGGCGATGGTGATGATGATGATGATGATGATGATGATGATGATGATGATGATGATGATGATGATGATGATGATGATGATGTTGATGTTGATGGTGATGGTGATGGTGATGGTGATGGTGATGGTGATGGTGATGATGATGATGATGATGATGATGATGTTGATGTTGATGGTGATGGTGATGGTGATGGTGATGATGCTGCTGCTGCTGCTGATGATGATGATGATGAAGAGGAGGAGGAAGAGAAGGAGAAGGACCAGTGTAAACCCAAGACGCACATACGAAATACCCTCCCTCAAAGTTCCCTGTTCATAGGGTAGTGCAAAATGTATTATGCATTGCGAGAAATGCCCCGTTGGAAGACAACCGTCTGAGAATCCCTGTTCGTGCCCTGGGACTTCAGCGCAGCGACTCGACATGAATGTTGTCCTGGCAACCCAGAGCCGTGCCAAAACACAATTTCTGGGACATCAGCGTCACGAATCAACGCGACTGTTGCGTCCAGACAGTCCTGAATCTTGCCAGAACACCCTCCCTGGGACTTCAACACAACGAATCAACGTGACTGATGCGTCATGACATTCCTAAATCGTGCTAGGACACCACTCCTGGAACTTCGACCATACTAGCCTTTGAAACTGTTGCAAACGTTCCGAACGAATGTGCGAGGCGCCACGGCAAGAACCACATTTTGAAAAAGAACCGCCATTCATCTTTGAAAGTGTGGCGAACGTGTATGACAAATTGGCGCGGCGCTAAGGCGAGAATCACATTTTGAAAACCACCCACTTTCCATCCTTGAAGCTGCAATGTATAAAACGAATGTGCGCGGCGCTGACGCGAGAGCCACATCCGTGAAACACACTTCAAGCGTCATGAACACAACTGGCGAGGAAGTCGCAGGAAAACAACCCAGCCCGCCCTACCGACACGTCTGGGGGTGCGACAGGAAAAAGTTATGTATGAGACGAAGGGATCAAGGGGGGAGGGTGAGGGGAAAGGGGAGGGGGAGGGGAAGGAAGGTGATGATGATGACGATGATGACGATGACATTAACGACGGTGACGATGATGATGATGATGATGCTGCTGATGATGATGATGAGGATGATGATGGTGGTGGTGGTGATGGTGATGATGATGGCAACAACGACCACGACGACGACGAGGAGGATGATGATGATGAGGATGAGGGTGAGGGTGAGGATGATGATGAGGGTGGTGATGGTGATGCTGATGTTGATGTTGATGATGATGCTGATGATGATGGTGATGGTGATGGTGAAGATGCAGATGCTGATGATAATGATGACGACGACGATGCGACTGAGGATGATGATGATGATGATGATGATGGTGGTGATGATGATGATAACGCTGATGACGATGCTGCTGATGGTGATGCTGCTGATGATGATGGTGATGATGAAGGGGAGAAGGAGGAGAAGAAGGAGGAAGAGAAGGAGAAGGACCAGTGTAAACCCAAGACGCATTTACGAAATACACTCCCTCAAAGTTCCCTGTTCATAGGGCCGTGCAAAAATGTATTACTCATTGCGAGAAATGCCCCATTGGAAGACAACCGTCTGAGAATCCCTGTTCGTGCCCTGGGACTTCAGCGCAGCGACTCGACATGAATGTTGCGTCCTGGCAATCCAGAGCCGTGCCAAACACAATTTCTGGGACATCAGCGTCACGAATCAATGCGACTGTTGCGTCCAGACAATCCTGAATCTTGCCAGAACACCCTTCCGGGGACTTCAACGAATCAACGTGATTGAAAAAGAACCGCCATTCATCTTTGAAACTGTGGCGAACTTGTATGATGAATTGGCGCGGCGCTCAGGCGAGAGCCACATTTTGAAAACCACCCACCTTCCATCCTTGAAGCTGCAATGTATAAAACGAAGGTGCGCGGCGCTGGCCCGAGAGCCACATCCGTGAAACTGTTACACATTTCAAGCTTCATGAACACAACTGGCGAGGAAGTCTCAGGAAAAAACCCAGCCCGCCCTACCAACACGTCTGGGGGTGCGGCAGGAAAAAGCTATGTATGACACGAAGGGATCAAGGGGGGAAGGTGAGGGGAAAGGGGAGGGGGAGGGGAAGGATGATGATGACGATGATGATGATGATGATGATGATGATGATGATGATGATGATGATGATGATGATGTGCTGATGCTGATGCTGATGATAATGACGATGGTATTGACGTCGATGATGATGAGGATGATGATGATTGTGATGGAGGTGGTGATTGTGATGTGGTGATGATGATGATGGTGACGATGACGACAACGACCACGACGACAACGACGAGATGCTGATGCTGATGATGATGACGATGCTGACGATTCTGATGATGATGATGCTGATGCTGATGACGATGCTGACGATTCTGATGATGATGATGATGATGATGATGATGGTGGTGGTGGTGATGATGATAATGATAAGGCGACTTCTCGTTTGTTCTGTCAGTCTCTACTGATCTTCCCCTGGCACCAGGGGCAACCCCAGTCAGACCTCCCTGGACGTGACCTTCCGACGTCAAGCAACATCGTAATCTTGACGCGCATGCCGCGCAGTGCGGCGCGCGCCCACTGCGCGGGGCAGCGAGGAGGCCGCGGACCCTCCGCCCTCGCCGGCACATGCAAGCCTCGCTCACGAAGCAAGGGAGGCCACAGTCGGAGCTTGGGGTTCCAAAGATGTCTCGAGCGAAACGGGCCTGAGCACCTCGTGAACCGCGTCTTTGAACCCAGAGTTGTGAGGATGTCTCAAACCGCGAAATGGGCCTGAGCACCTCAAATCAGTGCATCTCGTAGTAGCCCGGGCTTCCGAGGATGTATCGAGCGAGACAGGCTTGAGCCCTCGCGAACCGCATCTTCGAACCCAGAGTTGTGAGGACGGCTCAGGCGGAAAGGGCCCGAGCACCTCGCCAACCGCATCTTGGAACCCACAGGTGTGATTCGTGAGGGTGTCTCAAGCAAAGCGGGTCAGAAAACCTCTAGTCAAGGCACATCGGACCCTGGGGTTCCGAGGATGTCCCCGGCGAAAGGGGCCGGAGCACCTCGCGCGCCGCATCTTCAACCCAGAGTTGTGAGGACGTCTCAGGCCAAACAGTCAGGGCATCTCGGAGCCAGGGGTGCAGAGGATGTCTCAGGCGAAACAGGCCTGAGCACCTCAAGTCAGGGCATCTCGAAGCCTGGGGCTCCGAGGATGTCTCAGGCGAAAAGAGTAGCGAGGATGTGTCAAGCGAAACGGGCCTGAGCATCTCACGTCAGGCCATCTCGGAAACCAGGGATCCGAGGATGTTTCAAGTGAGACGGAGCTGAGCACCTCGCGAACCGTATCTTGGATCCTAGAGTTGCGAGGCCAAGCGAAACGAGCGAGAGCACCTCAAGTCAGCTGAATTCTTCAAGCGGCCAGCGTGGAAGAGGACACAACTGTTGAACGAGCTCAATAATATAGAACAGTCGTATGAGGTCCGTCGAATAGAACCTAACTCAAAAACCACTGAGGTCCGTCATGTGAGGTATACCCGCACAGGGCGGTGCAATCTGGGTGCTGCAATGGCTATGGAGTACAGGAGATGTGTTTTCATTGTAGCGCTATGGCTGCTTTGGGAGACAACAGAGGGGCGTTGGAATCAAGACGCAAAGATACTCTGTGTATGCTTCACAGGGCTTTCTTACGACCATCTGGAACCCCACTGCGCGCAGGGAAAAGGTTGCTGAACTTGTCAATGTATATCTCCATGCGAACATTGAGAACGCTCCCCTTTGTTTGCCCATCAGGCCCCCTAGAGTATCATCACTAGATCGCACACATTGTGTTGGTCCTTCACCTCTCCAAACTTCGATGTTTTGGTTGTCCTTTTTTTCAAATGGATACCTCGTCGATAGCACTTAGCGAATTGCCCTGATTTCCTTTCCTAACTATGCCTTCTCTAATTTAGGACGGTATTATTCGCACTCAAGGACACCTTGCTGCGTAATAAGCACCAGGTGGCCGAATCCCTTGACATTCTTTCCCGATTGCTTGGGTGCAGTCCTGACTCTGTCCACTGCTCACATCGGTCAAGAAACCCATTAGTTCTGCAACCAGTGATGGTGACACGCTTCTCTTTGTAAGCCTTGACCTCTCTGCGAAATTGGTCCGGATTCATGCGACAGCACATCGGCTCTGCACCCCCACCGCAATGACCGTGCACATACAAGACAGCCTTGTTATCCTGTTTCGCGAGCATGCGTTTGCCAAACTGTAGTTCAGCTTCGCTCTGCAGGCATTCAAGAGCATTATTATTATTTTCTTTCTCAATGGAGAGAGGTATCGTCCAATCAATGATGAGCTGCATCGTCCCATCGTCTTCGTCGGGCTCGAAGAGGCGAAACCAATCGTCAGCATTCAGCGGGGGATCGGCCTCGGTGATGAGAGGCATCTGGCCGACCAAGCTGACATATTAACCTCCCGGAACGAGTAACACAACTTGTTCGCCCTCGAGCCCAAATAAACTTGAGCCAAAATGGCTACGGACCTCAAGTAAGCGCATATCAGAGCCTTGGGTTCAGAGGATGTCTCAAGCGAAACCGGCCTCAATATCTCACGAACTCCATCTTGGAACCCAGAGTTGTGAGGACGGTTCAGGCGAAACGGGCCAGAGCAGATCAAGTCAGGCATCTCGGAGCTTGGGTTTCCGAGGATGTCTGAAGTGAAACGGGACAGAGCCTCCGTGGGCCACGGGGCACACCCAACTCTTTGGACGGCAACCCCTCCCCAGAACCTCCCCGGCGCCGCCGTCGGGGTTGTCGAGGTTGCCCCAAGGGCTCCTAAGTTCGCGCTTCGCGCTGCGCGAAGCGCGAAGCGCGAATAACTTCGCGCTCTCGCGCCGCCCCCCCAAAGGGAGATTAGGAGGACGAGGAGGAGGGGGAGAAGGAACGAGGACCGCGAAGCGCGAAGCGCGAATAACTTCGCGCCCTCCTGGGAGCCCTTGTTGCCCAGAAGCTGCCCCGGGCGACCCTGGCACCCGGGCTCAGCTGCACTGCCCCCCCCCACCAGCCAGGGCAAGCCCTGGGTAGGGCCCAGAACAGACCCAAAATCAAACCACAGTGGCCAGCAAGGGCCGTGCGGCTCTGAAAAGACACACCTGCACCCCCTGCGGACCGTTGGAGACATCCCCGAAATCTGGGCGCGAACGGGCCCGTGACACACCCTTGGTCGGCAGAGCACCGGCCCGCATCACAAGGTACGATCGATGCCGCATGCAGCACACGCAACGAGGAGTGTCCCGAGAGCACTGAAGACACAAGTACTTGTCTGATTGTAGTAAGAGCATTATCCTTTCTCACCCTCCCTCTCCTCCTTCCCTCCTTCCTTCCTTCCGCACAGCTTGAAGCCCTGTCTGGCTAGCAGAACGCACGTGCTAAGTGGAGCCGCAAGCCTGTGCAAGAAATCTCACGCACGAGTCAACTGCGATCAGCTCGGCGGCAAAAGAAGATACTGCAATTTCATGGCATGTTCCAGCCATTGCGACTACTCTGGTAGTCCGTTCCCCGTGCCTATACCAATGCGCTTCCATCACCCAGACGGACGCTGAGCAGGCAGACCCTCTCCCCCCTCCGTCGCAATGGACCTCCACGTTCGCGTCCTCCAGCTTGAAATCCGGATCCAGTGGTTCAACATGTTGCCATGACGTTCCCATGTCCATGGTTGTGCTGACGAGGTGGTCGGCGCGCTGGTTCAATTCGCGTCTCTTCCAGACCAAGGGGTCCATCCATGCTTGATGCGGATAGGGCCCCAGTGCCAGTAGCTGGGCAAGTCGATCAGATACCCAGAAGTGCTGGCACATGGTGCTAGACACTCGAAAGGGGCGAAGTGTAGCCCATCATAATCTCGACCACTGGTTTAAATCGCATGCAATCACGAAGAGCCCAGCCTCACAGTCCCACTGGAAATCCTGGTACGTGAAATTAGGCATCGCATGTGAAGAAGGAAGCTCGTCCAAGGTGTACCGCTTCACCTGGAGGCGTTTGGCTGCTGGTGGAGCGGGCCCAGAATCGATCACCGAAGCTCTGCCGATGTTGGGGAGATCCCACGCGACGGAGCGAACGAGGGGAACTCACTCATCCAATCTTGCCGGGACGTCGACCGTTCGCCTGGACCTCCATTTAGGACCCAAGAACGAACAAAACACGTCTTCCCATAAGGCAAATGTACCAGGGCATGCGTGGACCGAATTGACACGGCGACGCTCGGGATAATGTTCATGCTTGCCAAACTCCCACCATAACCTGTTTCTGAAGACGCGCGACTCGTGCAAGAACTGTCTGCCCCCACGCGGCGGCATAGACTTTTCACGCAACGCGCTCTTGTAGACAACAGTCAGCACTCTGATGTACAATGGTTTGATGCCATACCGTGTAAGCTGAGGAAGATGAGAATAATAAGGAGGAGGAGGAGGAGGAGGAGGAGAGGAAGGAGGAGGAAGAGAGGAAGGAGGAGGAGGAGGAGGAGGAGGAGGAGGAGGAGGAGAGGAAGTAGGAGGAGGAGGAGGAGGAGGAGGAGGAGGAGGAGGAGAGGAGGAGGATAGAGGAACGACGAGAAGGGAGGAGCGATGAGGAGGGAGGGGCGATGAGGAAGAAAGAGTAAGGATGGAGAAAAAAGGGCATATGAGGAAGGACAGATGAGTGAGAAGGAGTGAGGAGGGGGATGGGGGCGCTGGAGCAAGGGCGGGAGCAAGGTCATAGCGATCCCCACTCGGTGCGGTGACACACCGTGCGTTGACATCATATTCTCCTGGCTACGCAAGGCCTTGAGACAAGCAACGCCCCAAAAGATCGGTGACAAGGTTGAGGCAACCCGTCCTCTGTCCGCGAGCTATGTTTCAACCCGCAGCAAGTCTGCGAGCCAAGGCGCTACCACTGTTGCTTACAGGGCCTCACCCCAACGGTCGCAGAGACATCGGGGCAACCGCCTGTCCCAGCTCTTGTTTAACACGAGCGATCGCCACAAACCCTGCACTCGCGTGTTCTGCTTAAATGCACGTGCGGGCAATGCAACGCGAAGCTGGCTGCGGTGAGTGTGATGCGACATGTTATGGGCGTTGTAGATGATTGGGGAGGGAGCTCATGCGAGGGGTCGCAACACGCGGACTGGCCGCCCACCCGCATGACGACGACGCGGAGTCAGGCACCCTCGCAGGAGGAGGAGGAGGAGGAGGAGGAGGAGGAGGAGGAGGAGGAGGAGGAGGAGGGAGCGGATGAGGACTCTGTCGGGCCTGCTGCGCCTTCGGGCTCCTCCCCCTGGTGTCGTCCCCCTCGCGTCGTCCCCTGGTCGGTCTCCCTCCGGGGTCCCCCCTCCCGTCATCTGGCGGCCGCAAGCGGCCCGCGTTTGCACCTGGCCCCAGCCCGCGGAAGCATGGCGGCGCTAGGGGGGGGGGCGATGGCTCCAGGCTCCGACGAGCCAGAGCAGTCCGCAGCTCCGAGCTCCGAGCGGAGGAAGAGGAGGGGACGGGCAGGAGGGGTCGGGGGGGGGGGTCGCCTTGCCTTACGAGGGTCGGGTTCGTGGATCGAGGCTCGAAGCTCGAGAAACAGGGGGAGGAGGAGGAGGAGGAGGAGGAGGAGGAGGAGGAGGAGAGGAGGAGGAGGAGGAGGAAGGAGGAGGAGGAGGAGGAGGAGAGGACGAGGAGGAGGAGGAGGGCGATGACGACTGGCCCAGCGTTCCCTGGGAAGCGGATGTGTTATCATAGAAGGCACAAAACGACGAAAAGAGCGGAGGGGAGGGCAGACTCCCAGCTTTGACCTCGGAGAAGAGGCCCCCGAGCAAGCACAAAGGATTGCTGCAGCGCTGGGAGCCGCTTCGAGTCCTGAGCCAACGAGAGGAGGGCGCGGAGGATGAGGAGGGAGAGAAGGGGAGGAGGGAGGGGGGAGAGAAGAGGAGGGGAGAAGAAGAGGAGGGAGAGGAGGGGGAGAAGGGAAGGAGAAGAGGATGGGGGAGAAGAGGAGGGAGAGGAGGAAGAGGATGGGGAAGGAAGCTTCGTGTGGCGGACTGGCCTCGGCGACCACGCCGGCGGCTCGCGCGGCGCCCCGAGGGGGTCCTCTCGCGGCGCACACCGCAGCAGCAGCCGCCTGGTCGCCTCCCAGGGGGGGACACATGGGCTCGAGCAGGCCGTGGCCTTCACGATGCCGAGGACACTCGCGTCCCACCGCGTGCACTGGACTTCCCCACGGCGAAGGCACGTGCCCCATGATCACACAGCAGGAAGTACGTGTCTCGACCTCCTGTTGTCCTACTCCCCCTCTTCCTCCTCCTCCTCCTTCTCCTCCTCCTCCTCCTCCTCCTCCTCCTCCTGCTCGCCCACGTCTTCTTGTTCCCCAATCAGTGCTTACACTTAGGAGGCTCCCACTTGTAACGAAGGAACATGGCCTGCTTGTCGGTCTGGCGGCTATGCTGCCTCCGTCGCCGCCCCGTCGCCGCCTCGTCGCCGCCCGTAGTCTGGACCCGCCTGTCGGTCTGGCGGTCATGTCGCCGCCGTCGCCGCCCCCTCGCCGCCTCGCCGCCTCCCGTTGTCTGGGCCTGTCTGTCGGTCTGGCAGCTATGTTGCTGCCGTCGCCGCTCCATGGCAACATCATAGCCGCCCTAGGATGCACCGCGCAGATTTCACCGCAAAGATTGTATCACAAATGTTGCACCACACATATCGCACCACATAGCTTGCACAACATATTTTCTCTTTTCTAAAAACGAAATAGACTCTCCCCCCCCGGCGCTATCCGTTCCCCTTTCAGATATGTAAAGCATATATGCTTATGACCACTTGTCCATCCTAAATATGAAATTACAATGTCCCAGGGGAACCGGTATCGGCCCCCCTGAGGTTCCCTGGTAAAAAACGATACGCGGGGACATAGTTTGTTCTAACATAACATTTTGTTTCACGAATCCCTTGCAAAACATAGGACGAAGTGCACACGCGCGCGTCGTCGCGCGCGCATGCCGGAATCCTTCAAAAACCTTCGGTGCCGGAAGGACTTCGCAATCGAGTTTCCCCCCAAAAAACCATACAAAACGCAGGGTTTCGCAACACTGATTTGCTAAAAAAGCTTACGCGCGCGCTCTTGCGAAATCTTGAGAAAATCATCGGTTTTTCAAGATTTTCACAAAATGCTACCAAACGGGCTTCGCGCGCGCGCATGTCGAAATCTGTCGAACGCCCTTGCGCGTGTGCCGTCGCGAGAATCCTCTGCAAAAAAGGGACGAAGTGCACACGCGCGCGTCGTCGCGCGCGTATGCCGAAATCCATCAAAACGCATCGGTTTCCGAAGGATTTCAAAATCGTGCCCAAAAAACATACAAAAACACAAGGTTTCGCAACACGGATTTTCAACAAAAGCGTGCGCGCACGCTCTTGCGTCGTCGTCGTCGTCGTCGTCGTCGTCGCCGTCCTCCCTCCTCCCGCGTCGTCGTCGCCGTCGTCGCCTACGTCATCCTGTCTTTCCTCGTGTTCGTCGTCGTCGTCGTCCTCTTTGGCGT